CAGCCAACACAATAGTTTCCTAACTAACTTAGTTAGTCTTTTATCCTCTCCTTTACCGCCTATCATCTAACAGTTCTTGTATCTACTGTCATTCAGTATAGATAGAACCAAGATGTGTGTATCAACTGATTCAATACAGAAATTACATTCTTAGCATTCTCTCCCAAATCTGAGTGCTCCTATTGCTTCTCTGACAAAGTTAACATATGTATATGTCTTGTGTTATGAATTTCTGTACCTTACGAGTATGAATTTTGTATCTCGTATTTTCAATCCAGTTGTGTCCATAATGTATGCTATATATGTGTCTAGTGTTTGATTTTTTGTGTTTTGTGTTATGAAATTTTGTACCTTACAAGTATGAATTTTGTACCTCGTTGTTTCAATATAGCCAAATATGTGAGCTAATAATTTTGGGATAGAATAATTAATAAGACGATTAATAAATATGGTATAATTAACTAGATTGTCATAATTTTACCTTTAATGAATACTCTTTAAATAATTAACAAAAGAGTAACATGTTATAATGAAATTGTGATGATTGTGTCAAGGTAAAATATAATGTACAATATTTGAAACTCAATATAACCCTAAACATAGGGACAAAAACCAATGATATGATATCTATTCACACCTATAATTATGGTGTTTTCGCTTAATACGCTAAAGAAGTTGATTTTGCAATACAAATCAGTTTAATTGAATTTTAACTTGCTATTAAAACATGTTAGAGAAAATTAAGTAGTGGTTTGAAAAATATAGTTTTGCCCCAAGGTCGCGCATTTAATTATTGCCAATATTCTTTTGATTGAACCTATTCCATATGATTCTAGCGCAATTTGTGTACTTTATACAAGAGTGATATTTACTCATTGCACACCTTAGACCTTTGAGTGGTGATATTGTGAATTCCCCTCATCATTTAAAAAACAAAGTCATTTTTAATGAGGACTAAGGGGAGTGTATTCAATCATGACTTTCATAGAGTTTTAAAGACTTTTATGAACTTTAAAAGTTTAGAGGTATTCAATTCAAACTTTTAGAGAGTCTTTAAACGTCAGGCGGTATTCAATCAAGATTTTTAAAGAGTCTTTAAAAGTCGTGTGGTATTCGATTAAGACTTTTAAAGAGTCTTTAAAAGTCATGTGGTATTCAAAAAGTTATGAACTTTTGTAGATTTTTTAATTTTAAGACTTTTGTAGACTTTTCCTTCTCAAATATAAATAGTTGAAATCCGACCATCAACCCCAAGATTTCAAATTTTCTTTCTAACAACTTTGAATGTTTTCTCTCTCTATTTAAACTCTATTTTTTTTCCCCTATTTAAACTCTATATACCTATCTAAATTCAATAAAATTATTTTTTTCTTCATTATCCTATATTTTTCTCATACTTAAACTCTACCAATTTTGATTTTTATTATTTTTATGTTTATATTCGTAATATATATTTTGATTTTTTATTATTTTTATGTTTATATTCGTAATATATATATATATATATATATATATATATATATATATATATATATATATATATATATATATATATATATATATATTTTTAACAACAGGTTACTACGAATAGCGAATTACTTTCGTAACAACAATTTGGAGTTGCAAACAGTGGCACCTTGTTGTTTTTTGTAGTCTCAAATTGCTATTGCAAATAATAGTTCTTTGCATGATGCCTAGCAATATATCAAGGATAATTTTCTATATATTATTAATATTGGATTTTTATTTTTTTATTTTATGCAACTTGTAATTATATTTTTAAATATTTTATTTGATCAAGTCTTTTATTATAAATTTTATTATTCAATATTCTTATGAATTTCTAATGAAATAGTTTTTTTTTGTTGATGTTTATTATAATAATATATATAAGCTAAGTAATTAGCATATAAGTCTCAGCATACTATGGATAAAAATAATAATGTTGAAAATGTTGATGTCGGTGAAGAACTATATAATAAGAAGAATTTTATGATATATTATAAATGTTTTGTAAGAAAATTGTAAATGATAAGAATCAAAATCATTGAAAGTTACCAAGTGGCTTGTGGTCCACTGGTATCCGATTGGCTCCTTATATGGGATGTCTTAGAATTTCAATTTAGAATTTCAATGACTTTTGTAGACTTTTTAAAATAAAAAGTTGATAAAAGTCTATGAATGTTTTTTATATAGACTTTTATAGAGTCTTATAAAGTTTTAAAAAGTTTTGAACGACTCTATGAAAGTCAATCAAAGTTTATTAAAATCTATCAATTTAAAAGTCTTTAAAACTCCACAAAAGTCATGATTGAATACACCCCCTTAAGATTCCTTCAAAACTTTCAAAAGCTCCTTTTGCTAATTTCATATATTAGTACTCGGAATCAATTTTATATCATCACCGAATAGAATTTAAATCTACTTCTATCATACACAAATTAGTAGTAGATACCACTCAAAATAACCCTTATATGCGTATTTTCAACAAAAAATGAGTGTTGTACCATCTTAACTAGGGGGTCCACTACTGGAAATTATAGAATTTTCGACCACCTGAAAGTGATCTTGAATCAAATTAATACCAAAAAGTGGTCGGAAATAGCAACAAAGGTTTTTCCGGATACCAAAAGTGGTCGGAACAAGGCTTTCGACTTGATTTAAGATCACTTTCAGGTGGTCGGAAATTCCAGCATTTTCAGTAGTGGTCCCAGGCACGAACTTACAACCTTCCAAATGGAAATCCAACCCGGATACCATTAGACCACATAGTCTTGGTGCCTTAGCTTTATATTTGATAACTCAAGTTTTCAATTTCACCGAATATATCTTGAACCTTTATAAATCCTTTCCAAAATTAAAAAAATAGATACATTTTGATTGAGTCCCCTAATTGATTCCAGCTTCTTCATTGTCTATACATTTCTACACACTAGAAGTCTTTATCACCGCGATCAGTAGGCTTTTACGCACGTACAAGAAGTCTCCACGACCATTAGTTGGTCAAAGTTCCCCATTGACTATTTAGGTGTCATTTGTAATTGTAACTTAGCTTTATATTTGATAACCTAATTTTTCGATTTCACATACTAACTATACCCTGAACCATATTAAATTTGTTCTAAGATTTAAGAAATAGGTACATTTCGAGTCGCCTAATTGATTCCATGTTTTTCGTTGTGTACACTTATGCGCACAAGAAATCTTCACCACTATTAGTTGGTCAAAATCACCCATTAATTACTCAGGTGCCATTTGTAATTGTGACAAGAAGCATCCACACTAGTAGTTATTTAGGAGTTATTTCTACATGAATTCTCTCCACTCAAAGTTAATAGCTGATGTGGGGAGGAGTTATTTCAAAATATTTCTTATGCAAAGTATGGTATATTTGTGGTCCCAATAAATAAGAGAAATAATTAAAATATAGTGAGTTAAATGGTGGGTGCATAAAAAACTGAGAAATAACTCAAAATTGATGTGGAGAAGGGTTTTTTGTAATTGAATGAGATGATAGAGGATGAGGTGGATGCTGGGACCAACAAATAACTGAGAAATAACCTCAACTGATAAGGATGCTCAGTTGAGGTTATTTCTCAGTTATTTGTGGGTCCCAGCATCCACCTCATAGTAGGCAACTGAGTAGTTATTATAGTAGGGAATTCTTCATCCATTAATGAGTGCTGTGATAGTTGTACGGGAGATTTGGGTAGTGCTGCCAAGACCACTGACTACGTACAGTTTACAGCCTTTAATTTATAGCTTTTTTTTTTTTTTTTTTGGAAAAGAATTTATAGCTTTCTTTATTGTCCAATATAATCTCTTCATGTGTAATGGTGTGGGTATTGCCTCTTTAATTATAATTAATTTGTTACGTTATTAAACAATTATTAATATTTCTTTATAATTTATGGACAGAAAGTATTATTTTTCTGATACAAAATAATTTTTTGTAATTCAAGTTCATCCCCTAAAAATATTTTAAATGGTTAATTTACCAATTATAATATGATCGAGTATAGTGATACTATACTTATTCTCACTTTTTACTCTATCCTAAAGTGAAATGCTTTGATTAATATATACAGGGAGAAAATGTAGATTATAGTTTTTTTTTTTTTATCCTATTTTCTTATCTTATTCTAATAAGATCAAGATATTTTACAAGAGTTTTACACTTTGAGGTATATTAAATAGAGATTATAAGGCAGTTTTTGGTGGTTGTTAGTATATCTTTAGACATAATAGTTTTGAAAGCACATTCATTTGATCTAGCTTCTAACTTTGAGGCCAACTGTCTCATCTAAAAAATTAAAGTGTTTACAATCCAGCGAAAGGATTATTAGTCATTGTGTCCGACGATGAAAACCTTGAGTATATCCAAAAAATTCATCTTCTAACTTCTCTCCATTTAGAATATGGTTAGATTGAGTTTCATTTCATGCAATTACTTCAACTTGGATACTAATTCAAGATTATAATATTCAATTCTCTATGGAGTCAAGTTAAGTTATATAATTCAAATTCAATTCGATCCATTTACTTAATTTCATCTATGACTAGCTTTATTGTTCAAGTTTATATTATGCTTTTACATTTCTTCCATTGTAATGTGTAGCAAATTCAATTAGCTAGCTAGGGATTTTAGATTGAGATAACTCTTGATTTAGAAGCTGTGACTTGGATTAATTGTATAAAGGAATTTTAATTTGTATAAGCGAACCTAAGACTTTTATTGTGAGTAGTGAGAGTGGATGCTTAATTTGTCTCTTGATCGAGGTATTTTAGAATTGTGTGAATAGTATGAGAATGTGACATACCTAAGTCACACTATTCACAATCTTAGTCCTACTTTAAGAAAACCTATGTGATGTATTTGATTAAATGTCTCGACTAGATTTGAGATACCATGAGATCGAGTAGAATTTAAAAATAGTTGATTAGACTAATGGTCTAACCGGAGCTTCTCTAGCAACAATACAAACAATATATTCATCATAAACAGAAAAATTGAAACACAGTTTTCCAAATTGCAAGGTAACTAATTAAGAAGTAATAATCACTTAATTACAACTTTCACAAGCTGATGTTTAATCTTTTGTAAAGCTACAACCACTTCTTTCATGCAAATCCTCTCCGCCGGAGATTCTAGACAACATCTCAAAGCCAATTCCATGATAGATGACAAACACTTGATTTTTTCATTCAAGGGTTCATTATCTTGTGCAATTAAATTTGAGTCAATTACATCAATTACCTTGTCAGGCAAGGACTCTTGTACCCAACTCTTTAGGCTCACATTTCCGGAAAACATATCACTGTTAGGTTTTGATCCTGTGAAAGTTTCCATCAACAAGATACCATAACTGTAGACGTCACATCTTGTTGACACTAGGCCTTCTGATCCATACTCTATTTCAAATTTTAAAAGATGAGAAACGATTTATTTGATAAACGAAGATAATTTAAGCATGGAAAAAGAAAATTAAAAGAACCATCACCTGGAGAAATGTAACCCAATGTAGCTAGGGTCTTTGTGTATGCAATGCTATCATCGTTGCCCAACAACTTTGCAATTCCAAAATCGGCAACATGAGCAACCATGTCCTCATCTAGGAGAATATTACTTGGTTTCAAATCACAGTGAACCACAGGCTTTGGATAACCGTGATGAAGATATTCTAATGCATACGCAACATCCATCATTATGTTTAGTCTTTGAGTAATGTCCAAGAAATGGTTTTTGGTATACAACCATTCATCAAGGTTCCCCTTTGGCATGTACTCAAGGACCAAGGCTTTAAAATTTGGAATTGAGCAATAGCCTAACACTTTAACAAGATTTCTATGGCGAAGGCCGAACATTATCTTGCATTCAACATTAAAGCTTTGGAATGAAGCTTCCAATTGCACATTAAATACCTTTATGGCCAAAATTCTTCCATCATCAAGATTTCCCCTATATACAATGCCAAAACTCCCAGCACCAATCACATTCCTTTCATTATACCCATCTGTTGCTTGTAAAAGTGTATTGTATGATATTCTCTCTTCTTCTTTAATGGGGAACACATCTTCTTTCTTTGTATCCTTCCTTTTTCTCCAAAATATAATCAACCCAATTCCCACGACCAAAGCAAGCATAACACCCATAATTCCCAAAGCCATGAAACAATATCGAATCATTCTTTTCACTTTAGACCTTTGAACTACTCTTTGCCGGCATGGTGGAACATCAAGCCTTTGATCTCCACACAATGCTTCATTAAACAAAAAAGATAGGCTTGTGAAGTTTTTAAAAGGACCATTTGATGGAATCTCACCCGTTAAGCTATTGAAAGAGAGATTCAAATAGTGAAGATATCTAATTTCTTGCAAGGACATGGGAATTGGACCACTAAGGTTGTTATGGGACAAGTCTAGTGATTCCAAGCTTAGCATCCTACCCATTGACTCGGGTATTTTACCAAACATTTGGTTTTGCGCCAAAGAAAAGTTTATCAAATTTTGTAAACTTCCTATTGTGCTGGGAATGTTGCCAAAGAACTTATTGTTTGACAAATCTAAAAGATACAAAACCTTCATATTTCCAATTTCTAAAGGCAGAGCCCCGCTAAAGAAATTAGAAGACAAGTTGAGCATCAAAAGGTATTTCAAGTTCCATAGGTTTGATGGAATTGTACCATTCATTCCATTAGAATCAAGGTGGATATATCGCAAAGAAGTAACATTCCCCAAGCATTCCGGGATGGGACCCGAAAGTAGATTTTTGCTCAAATAAATTTCTCCTAGACTCAACACCTTACAAAGACTCCCAGTTAGCTGACCACTTAATTTGTTTTCCATCAGTCCCAAACGTTGAAGCCCATGTAACCTTTGTATCGTGTTTGGAATTGCACCACTCAAGTCATTAGCGGACATTTCTATAACTGCTAAGCCAGTTAGATTGCCAATTTCATCTGGGATCGGACCGTACAACCCTAAATTGTCTGCATAAAAGTTTTGTAGAATGGAAGACAGATTACCAATGGATTGGGGGAGAGTGCCATGCAGAAAATTCGAACCCAAATCTAGTGATTTTAAGTTTCTGCATTTTGTCAGAGAAGTTATGAAACTTAATTCTGGAGAGGAAGGAGCAAGTGCTAGTTTGTTTTCAAACATTAGAAGCATTTTGAGAAGCATAAGATTCCCAAGAGAGTTTGGAATGGAGCCAATGAATTGGTTGCTATAAAGAGATAACATTGAGAGTTGGGAACAATTTCCTATTGAGAGAGGTATAACTCCACTTAGCATATTTTCATGCAGATAAAGTGCTTTAAGATTGGATTGTGTGGAGCATGTAGGTGAAGAAGGAATACTACCCAAAAGATGATTAAATGAAATATCAATTTCTCTTAGTGTAGTAATGTTGAACAACCCTTCTGGAATATAACCACCAAGATTATTTTCTCGAAAAGCAACCATTTCTAATTTAGAAAGGTAGCTCACTTCTTTAGGTATTGTACCTGCCACAGTCACACAATGTAGAATTTTAGACAAACCTTTTAGAGATCGATACTCTCAATCAATGTGACTAAGGATACAAACTTGTAATTATAAGATCACAAAGTTGAATCCCAGCCTTCTTGGCTGAACAAGTCAACCATGGGCAACCTAGGCTGGTTTACCCAATTCACACCCTTGTCTTGTCACCTTAGAAAAACCTTTTAGAACATATATAAATCAGCTTTCCATTCTTAAATTTACCTGTGAAATTGTTTTCTTGAAGAAATAACATTTGAAGAGAAGACAAATTTCCAATCACTCTAGGTATGGATCCCATGAGCCTGTTGTTCCACAATACCAACAATTGAAGTGATGACATGTTGAAAATGGTCATTGGTATAGAGCCTATAATCTGGTTATCTTCCATGCCCAATCTCTTCAAATTATGAAGGTTACCAAATTCGTCTGGAATTTTTCCTATGAAACAATAAATTATACTAATTAGATACTAATTAACAATCGGGGACACACTGATAGTACCTGTGTGACAAACAGACAAAGATACATGGAAAAAGGATCCCCAAACCAAGTTGGTCAGGTTGTTGACTTGGTAACTCTAAGGTTACAAGTTCACCTCCCAATGGGGGTGGGCCTATTGACCTAATTAGTTTAAGCCAATCAGCTATGAGTAATTTATGTTGGTTTACTCCTTGTGGCTCTTTAATTTGTCGACTAAATTCACAATGCGGGGTCTACCCAGTATGCATCCTCGAGTGAGGATTTCCACTCGTCATCCATAAAATAAATATGCATGGAAATTAAAAGTATACCTGTTAATCTGTTACCACCAATAGCCAGTGTCTCAAGCATCTCCAACTTGCCAAGTTCTCTAGGAATCGACCCATTGAACTTATTCATTGCAAACCCCAACACTCGAAGTTTTGAACATTCGGATAAATTTGCTGGTAGTGGACCACTAAAGCCATTGATTTCTAAGTCAAGAGTTTTGAGACTTGGAAGCTGATGGCATATGTTTGAGGGAAGAATACCCGACAAACTATTATTTATAAAGTTGATATGTTCGAGTGTGGAGATGTTGAAAATTGAGTTTGAAATTGTACCAGTAAAGTGGTTACTTTGGGCACTTATCACCTTCAAGTTACGAACATTCCCAAATTGTCGAGGAATCTCTCCAGTGAGATGATTGAAGCTCAAATCCAACACTTTCAACCGATGCAGATGTTCCAAATCTTTGGATAGGCTACCATACAAGTTATTGTGACTCATGTTCAAGAAAGACAGAAAGGAGAGATTTCCCAAGGATGTAGGAAATTGACCGGACAAACCCATATTTGAAATGTCTAATGCCACCACCCTATGATGTCGTGATCCACAAGTAACTCCAATCCAATGACAGATCGGAGTGGGAGTAGAAGTAGACCAATTGGTGGCCAAAATATTGTTTTGGTCCTTTAAAGTGAGACTAGCTTTCAAAGATAGAAGAACAGATAGATCGGTGGTAATATTTGTAGTAGACTCAACAAAGCTATTAGTGCCGGAATGGGTCATCAAGATGACAAAAAGAAACAAGAAAGATAAAGTAGCCATGGAGCTGAGAATCAATTGAAGAATAAAATAGGACTTAATTACTTGGTACTACTAATATAATGAGCTACGAGCTGAGGTATAAATAACGATGAGGATAAGAGATGCTCTAAACATTCTGGTCTTCCTAGCCAGTAGCCAGTCAATTATAATGAATTATTATATTTCGTGATTTGACTCTTATAATAATCAATCAAAAGGTAAAGGGAACATAGGAAAATGATACTCCTCATCTGCTTTATCTTTTCTTTGAAGTCTTTATTTAATTATTCTTTTACAACTTTATTAATATTTTTTTTTTCAATTCGTCTACACCACACATTTTTATAGTTAGACTATACTATCCTAGGACCCCATAGCAATCCAAATCATATTCATAGCTAGTAATACCTCAAAGAGTGACAAAACATTGCTTCATAAGTTTCAAAGTAACTGGATTTTCAGAGCTTGAACTCGAAACCTCTAAATAAATTAGATGAGATAATATACGCAATATCTTCCACACCCCGACCCATAGGTTTCCATCATAATATTTGCCAAACACTATTGTTAATAATGTCGGTAATTTATATCGTGGACCCTGGTCCAATACATATAATTTGATTTCATAATGTACAGAATTCATGTTCATAATACAAATACACATAAACACGATGTAATGAAGACACATAAACATTTAACATAATACACGTAATTTGATTTCATAATTTACAGAATTCATGTTCATAATGTACATAATTCATGTTCATTATATCATGTTTATGTGTATGTGTATTATGAATATAAATTATGTGTATTATGAACATGTATTCTGTATATTATGAAGTCAAATTATGTGTATTGGATGATAGAATAATGTCATGATAGGAAAGTGGTTCTAATCTAATTGTTAGGAACATTGTATTAGGATTTTGATGATACCAATGTAATGTAGAAAAGTAAACCCCTAACCATTAGCTTTTTTTTCGCTGCTTTCGTCCTAGACGAAAGTTGCCATAACTCCTCTGTAATTCGTGTTAAGCTAGACAAACACACGAAAATGAGTTATGACTAGATGTTAGGGTCTCCAAGGCGAAAGAAGACACGAGACATGAAGAACAGCAACAAAAGTCAAACAGGAGTTGTCAACAAGCACGAAAGGACAGTGTTGGTGAAAGACAATCTTTATCAAGCATTACTTCTCTTCAACAACGAGAAGAATGTTTCACCAATCTGATTTGACAACATCCTAGGACAATAAGGACTTCATCTTATGGGACACACTTTTCAAGAAGCATTAAATGAAGATGTACCACCTCTTGGAGCTAAAGGACAAAACCCCAGTGTTTTCCATACCCTCAACGGCTACATGGTACAACCTCATTAATGGAGCATTTAATGCATGAAGCTCCCCGGTCCTTGTCCACTGGTTAAAAGGTTCGAAAATCTCATCTCCCTCCAACGGATGGATTTTCATCACCTATATAAACTCACCTTCATCAACTAAGAAGGTGCTGGTTCATTATCACTCAACTTACTCACTTACAAAAGCTCTTGAAAAGTCTACAATTTACCAAAAAGCTTTTGTGAACCAGTTTTGAGGTGCTAAGTTACTTGAAGAATCTTTTGTCTTACACCTCAAGGAAGTCTTGACATTTGTTCGAAGCAATCATATCTCAGAGTCAAGACCTCATTGTTGGAGAATTCAAGAAATCATTTTCTACCAACCTCAACTCAGGAGAAGAAGTTGATAGAGGCGGAGTAAACTCGAGGAGTTGAAAAACCTACGAAGGCTGTCCGGCTTAGTGATCAAGGAAGTCTTTGTGTATTTGTACTAAGAGTGATAGTGCAATCCTTCCAACAGTTGTGGAAGAAGAGTGGAGTAGGCAACATTGGCTGAACCACTATAAAATCTCGTGTCCTCTCTATCTCTTTACTTACGCTTTTCTTTTTGCTTTCATATCATTCCTTTATTATCATTACCGAAAGTTTGTCTAATTATGCAAACTCGTGCAAAGTATCTAAAACAAATCTATATTATCCGCTGCGCCAAGACACCGAAAGGTGACGTTTAGGGCTTCTAACGAAAAGAGTCTATTCACCCCCCCCCCCCCCCTCTAGACTCTCATCTCATTCTATCGGGACCAACAAGTGGTATCAGAGCCAATACCTTGATCGGTAAAGGCTTTGCATTTACTGCCTGGTAGATCCCTATTCAAAAATCTCTTGAAAATCTTGCATATTTTCTTTGCACGTTTTTTTTTTAAATGGAAAAGGAACATGCTCATCGCTCCAAACAACTTGCATTTAGTCTTGCTAAATTTGATGACTGGAAGTTAAGAATGCAGGTTCTCCTATGCTCCATTCATGACGAAATGTGGGACGTCATAACCACCGGACCAATCACAATCATGATGGCGAATGCTCAAGCAGCCGCACAGGGAGCAGGAGCTCCACAGAAGAAAGAACAAGAGCAAATCTGGACAATGTAGCAAGAAATATTCTCTACAACTCTCTGGATGATTCCCTGTTTCCCAGAATCCAAAAATGCAAGAATGCTATGGAAGTGTGGAATGTCCTAATGAGTTTGGGAGAAGGAGGCGAGCAAGAAAAGGACAACAAGCTAACAATGGCTATGAAAAAATTCGAAGATTTCAAAATGCTGCCAAATGAATCAATCATGGATATGGAACTTAGATTCACCAGACTGATGGGCGATTTATCAGATCTTGGAAAAGAACTCACTGAGAAGGAAATGAATCTGAAGATCCTTCGTGGTCTACCTAAATCATGGGAAATGAAGGTCATTGCAATGAGGGACAGTCGAGATATGAAAACAACAAGCACTGCCAAAATTTTCAGTGATCTCAAAGCTTATGAGTTCGAACATGAACCAAAAGATGCCGAAGATTCAGAAACAAGAAACATTGCTCTCGTGGCAAATCAATCAGCATCAACATCCAACAGGTCGAAACCTAACTCTTGTGATTTTTTATCTGATGAACAATATGCACTATTTGTCAGGAAAATGAAAAGATTCATGAGAAAGAACAACTTTCAAGATCCACAACGTTCGAGCCACCGGAAGAAGAATGAGAACTTCCCTCAAACCTCAAAATCTGAAACCATGGACTCTCAACTATTGTGCTATAATTGCCGAAGGCCAGGACACTTCAAGGCGAACTGTCCGCATCCCATAGTAAGCAAACATCAAGATAACAATGCTACCACAAGTCCCTCAAAGGAGACTGGAGAAAGACATAAAAGAAGCGACAAACCTGAATCATCAAACTCCAGAAAGGAAGGAAGAAGAAAGGCAATGGTAGTAAACGAAACTTCTGACAGAGTTGCAACCGAAAGTAGCTCCTCAAGCTCTAGTTCAGAAGACGAAAGCACTGATGAGGAGAAAGGACTGCTGTGCCTATTCAGTCAAGAGTCAGACGAACTATGTCTCATGGCAGATGAAGACGAGGTAAATAGTCATTCATCCTCTTGTTATTCAGCTGAGTCGAGTTCTGTGAGAAGTCTTACCTCCAATGAATCTGTCACCGAAATGATAAGGAGGTTCAATGTGATAAATAGCACTTACTCCGAACTCAAGGAGGAGAACTCTCGGCTCATGCTTAGCTATAATGAACTAAAGCAAGTTCATATTGAGAACAATGTGCTAGTCATTGCTAAGGAGCAGCTTGAAAAAGATGTTCTCGCTCTAAAGGAGCTGTGCACAGCAAAAGAGAAGAGAGAGCAAGAATTGCTTGAAGTCTTAGATAAATTCAATAATTCATCCAACCTAATGGATAGAATGATGAATGAATCCAGACTGCCCGGGGAAAGAACTGGAATTGGTTTTAATCCCAGCTCCTCTTCACAAGTCGAATTGAACAAACCCACGAATGCATATTCACACGAAAGCTTCGAGGCCGCATTTGTTCAAGGACCCACCCAGTTGTCTGAGCCTATGATGGTAGTTAACAATGTCGAAACACCACAATCAACAAGCCAACCGAAAGGTACGGCTGTACAACAAATTGTGGAATCTGGAAAGAAGAAATCTAGTAATGGCAATCCTAGACAAATCCTTGTCAAAAGGAATGGACCAAATGGCAATAAACAGAATCTACGCCATAAAAAGGATTAGCCTAACTGGAACAATCAATCCAACAAAAAGACGAATGGTAACCAGAGGCAATATCGTCCGAAATTCACACGAAAGAATCCTGCACAAGGAATCTCAAGAAGCGGACAAATCAGACAACCCGAAAGATCCTTCAAAAGATCTGGGTATGGCAATGGACACTACAAGAAAAATCCTGATTCGCGACGGAAAAATTCTGTCGTGAAAATGCCAAATTCCGTCGCAAAATGCAATTTGCGACGGAATTTTACATTTTCGCGACGGAATCCATTCCGTAGTGTCAAGGCTTGTCGTATTTCATTTCGCGACGGATTATTTTCGTCGCGAGCAGTGGCGACAGGAAATGGTGACAGAATTTTTCGTCGCAAAGTAAGTGACGGAAACCATTCTGTCGCGAGTCCGTCGCAGTTTTGGCAACGAAAATGTTTGTTCTGTCGCCATCACATGAAAAAAATACTCCGTCGTGGAATTCATATTCCGTTGCATATTTCTGTCGTGAAATATAACGACGGAAATAATTATTGTCGCGATTCCGTTGCTAGCATTTCTGTTGCAAATTTTCTATTCCGTCATAAAATTCTGTGGTAAAAAAATGACGGAACAAATTGTCGTCGTGATTCCGTCGCTAACGTTTCTTTGCGAATTTTATCTTCCATCGCAAAATTTCATCGTTAGAAAACGATGGAACAAATTTCCGTAGTGATTCCATCGCTCGATATTCCGTCGCAAAGTTTGTTTTCCGTCATAACATTTCGTTATACAAAAAATAACGAAACTATTCACTACCATGATTCCGTCGCATCGTTAAAATCATATTTTATCGCAATTCTACTAAATTATTATTTTTAAATATTTTTTAATTATTATTATTTTTTAAAATTCTAATAGTTGTATTTAAAATATTAATATGCAAACTAAAATATAATATAATTTATTATA